CTGAGCCTCTAGTTTCCAATTATGCCGCCATTAGGGGGCGGGGCTAAAGATGAATACCTGCAGAGTCACACATGTCAGGTGGAATTTTAAATCTCATTTCATTTGTTTAAACAGCTATAGAAAAAAAAGTATTTGTGAAAAAATAATTTTAAACCTGTTTTAGAAATTTTAAAGCCTCATTTGAAAGGTGTGTGGATGAAACACCATGTGACTGAGTTTGGGCCTTTTCTATAAATAGATAAAAATCTGCTGGTGTCAGCTGGGCCCTGTAGCGGTCTTGCTCAGGGACCCAGAGTGGCAGTCTGTGGGAGGGGCTTGGACCCAGAACCTCTGGGTTCCAGGCTCTATGCCCCCCCCCTGACCACCAGGCTCTCCTGCTTGTAATGAGATTTTTCTTCTGTGTTTTCCAGGAAGCTTTCACAGCTTTCCATCCGGATCAAACGTTTGTTCAGAAGTTTCTAAAGCCTCTGCAGATTGGAGAGTTGGCAGAAACAGAGCCGAGCCAGGATGGAAACAAAGATGTGAGAAGAATCTGACCCCCCCATAAATCTGAGATTACTGCCTGAACTTTTGCTTGTTTTAGAGACGCGTACATCATCCAGGAAACCATCGAACAATAAGGCCGAGTTTTCCTTGATTTTAGAAACCTGACATATATTTCAGCTTTTTTTCCTTTGCTTCCAGGCCGCCATCATACAGGATTTTAAAACGCTACGCAGTGAGTTGGAGAAGGAGGGTCTCTTTAGAGCAAAGCCGTTATTCTACTGCCTCCATCTGGGTCACATCCTGCTGCTGGAGGCCCTGGCCTGGATCATGGTCTCCTACTGGGGGACGAGCTGGACTCTCACCTTACTCTGCGCCGCCATGTTGGCAACTTCTCAAGTAATTTGAACATTATTTATTGAAAATAGTTTGACAGCAATAATAGATGAGCTTAGGAAAGAGGAAATTAATCTTAAACATTTTCTCAGGCGCAGGCTGGATGGCTGCAGCATGACTTTGGGCACCTTTCTGTCTTCAACAAGTCCAAATGGAATCACCTGGTCCATAAGTTTGTTATTGGACATTTAAAGGTAGCCTTTGCAGATTAATTTATTTTATTTTTTTGGTGCATTGATCTCAGTTTTAAAGAGTTAGATTTTCTTCCAGGGAGCTGCAGCCAGCTGGTGGAATCACCTGCATTTTAATCACCACGCCAAACCTAATGTCCTGAGCAAGGATCCTGATGTCAACATGTCAGGCATCTTTGTTCTGGGATCCGTTCAACCTGTGGAGGCAAGAAGCTGAACGCAGATTTATTTTCACCTCTTAGAGAGTCAGAAAGCCCAACTGCTCAAACTCAGGCGTTCTCCTCTGCTTCGCTCCGCAGTACGGCATCAAGAAGATCAAACACCTGCCCTACAATCACCAGCACCAGTACTTCTTTCTATGTACGTCTGCTAGAAGTCATGGAAGAAGAGAAAAGAGAAAAACTCTTGATTCTTGAAAAATAAAATCCTTTCTCTGTCTCAGTGGGGCCGCCGCTGCTCATCCCAATCATCTTCAACCTGCAAGTATTGCATGTCATGATTTCTCGCCGGAACTGGGTGGTAAGAAGTCACGATTTTTCTTTTCTATTTCTGTAAATAACTTTTTTTGATGCCTATTTAAAAAATTTTAAAATATATTTAAAAAAGATGCTTTGCCATAAAAAAAAGAACCTGTTTTAATATTTGCACGGTATTCTGAAACGTATGAATGTTTTAAAGACTATGAGCATGATTTAATTTACAATTGGTTTCAATCCTGGTTCCAAAAAAGTTGAAATCAATCCTCTGGACTTTGTTTCCAAGTTTGAAGACGTTTCTCTTCCATCCAGGAAAGTTTTTCAATTCAAAATGTCAGAAATAGCGTTTAGTTCCAGGTTTTATATCAGAGGTAACCAATTAAAAATCATTGGGGTCCGAATATAGAAAATCATCAACC